CCCCAGAATGGCCGACGGGGGAAAGCTGGCTCAGTCAGTGCCATCAGATAAATCTCAGAAAGCAGGTGCTGAGGGCCGGCAGCAGAGATGCTGACTTGGGGCCCTCTGAGTGGTTGGCAAGTAAGCGGAGCCTTGGGTCGGACGTATCCATGTCGGTGAGATTTGCAGCCGGCGGCCTCCAGCACCAAGACCAACAGCACGGCCTCTCCTGCCTCCACCTCCACCTACTGTGTGTCTGCATAACCACACACTTACTCTTGGTGACCACGCCCTCCAGGTGGATGATGTTGGGATGGTCAAACTGGCCCATGATGCTGGCCTCCGCCAGGAAGTCCCGCCTCTGCTTCTCAGTGTAGCCCGCCTTCAGCGTCTTGATGGCCACCGTGAATTCCCTCTTTCCAGGCAGTCGGAGCGGCCCGCTGCACACCTCCCCAAACTCACCTACGGCAAGCCGGACGGACAAACTGAGTGAACCACACACTCACTGCTTGTGGAAAAATACTCATTACACATTATGTTTGTGAAAAATTCATTACTTATTGATTCCTGTTTGTAAAAACCTTGACTTTATAACCCCAATATTAACCCTGATTAAATTTGTCCTTAACATTTATTGGTATTTAAAATCATTGGTATTTAAAATTTGATACAACTCATTTCTAAATAGAGATACTAAACAGAGATAAAAATGTGCAATAAGGAGAGATAAAATGTGACATTTAGGGTAAAAGTGCACAGGGGGACATTTGTTACCCCCTATAATTAAAGATGAAATTAGTAGTGTGTGTGTTTGCTAAAGATACATAACCGAGGTCCTCTTTAGGGTAGATGTTTGTTGGGGGGGGGTCATTGGATACCATGCATTTAACATAACTGAGCTCATCATGCCTCCCCCCAGGATGACCCCCGCTGGCACGTCATCAGGCGGATTGCAGAGCAACAACTGATCCACACCAGAGCCGGATTTCTCCAGCTGATGCTACGTTCTGGGGCCGTACGGTGCGGGGGGGACGGGGGGACACCGTGTTTAGGCAGCTGTCTGGGCACGGTTACATCCAGCTGCCCTTCCAGATGTGAGTAATCCCATGATCACTACTCATTAAGCGATCATGCGTTGGTGTTTTAACGAAATGGGCCCTGAGTCGTTGGTCAGACTTACTACATCCCCCGCCACCAAAATATAAAAAAAAAACAGGTCCTCAGAAACAGACTGTGCTCTGTCTCCAGAAAAGCAGAAAGAAATGGCATCCGTGATACTGTACGTATACCCAGCAGGTCCAGTTGGTGCCTCCTGGCCTGTTAAACATGCTCAAACCCAGCGGTAACAGGCCAGCCCATACCCACCAGCCCCGATGACTCTCTCGATGGTGATGCAGGAAGCGTCGATCTCCTTGGCAAACTCGTGCACGGCCTGGCTGGGGTCCTCATAGGTGTGCGGGTCGATGTATGTGCGCACACCGGGGAGCTGGACTGTAACACAGAGGAAGGGAGTCACTCCCTTTGTGCAAGTACCAGCAGACCTGAAACGCATGCATATGCATGTGAGGTTCCCCTGCAGCGGGATGGCAGAGGCGCTAAGGTGGCAGACACTTAAAGGAGCAAACTCATTCTCCCACTGGTTGATTGAGGTAGCCACACGGGGCAGCAGCGAGCGCCCCCCCCCCCACGGCTGACTCACGCAGGCCGCTGTGGAAGTGCATCTTCTCCTCATCCGGATCCTGCTTCGCGATGCTGTAGCCGCAGCGCCTGCAACCCACAGTCCCATCAAATTCTGCCCTGGTGCCTCACCTGAGCAGGCCCCCCCACCACCAACAGCTGGATAACTGAGTGCACCTGAGACCCAGACAGGTAGACGGAGATCCTCCTGCAAACGCCATATCCGTGTGCGTGAAACGAATGGTTAAAGTCACTGGTGCGACGGATCGCTGTGGCCCCAGGACAGGGGGGGGTTAATTAGTGATGGAGTCCAATTTCAGTCGGATATTCCTCATAAAAGTGATATTCATAGAAGTCTTCCCAAAATCATAAATGACGTATGTCAGATGACGGCGGCTCGGGACACGGAGCCAGTTCTCTAATTTATGTGCCATAAAATCAGCGAGGAGATTCCAAGCGAGGATCCCTGCTGAGCTGGAGACACCATTACATGACAGGGGATCGAATCAATCCCCCCGGAAAGTCAAGTCATGCGGCATTTTACAATGACTCGCTGACTTAACCAGCCGTGCGGGCGCCTAATCGCCGCCGCTGCCCTCTCACCAGCCTCGCTACAGCTCCGCCAGCTCAGAGATGGAATGACGCATTCAGGCCCAGGTCTGGACAAAAAAAAAAACACACCTCCAGCTAATTCAATTACAGTTTGGTTCACAGAAATAAGCTGAAAATGACAGACGCCTGAAAAAGAACATATGGACACAGGCGCTGGGCCAAATAGACGCAGACGCAGCTACTTGGCCACACACAGACAGGCCGTACAGCATCTATCAATGAGTAACTCACATCCAGTATCTATGTGAATTACAGCTTGTTCTTTTTTAACTGGTCACTGGCCGCTGCCAGGACGAATAAAAACATAGTTTTTGCCCCTAACAAGGTATTTTCTTTCCAAGTCATTTACAGCCAATCACAGCTCAGGTGCTGATGCTGAATTACCAAGCACCAATCAGCTATTCAGCACAGCATGTGCAGGTGGCCCCAAGGCGTCCGCCGACAGACGGGCCGGGGAGGAGGTGGGGAAGACGGCGAGACACCATACCTTCCGCTCAGCAAGAAGCCAGTGACTAGTGCCAGCAGGACCACGCCCACGATGACGGCCACTGCCACGATGGGAAGTTGGCCCTGGTCCCTGGATGCAGCTACTGCTGAAGCGAGGAAAGGAAGCAGCTGTTAATGCTCATGCTAATGCCAATGCTAATAGCAATGCTAATGCCAATGCTAACGGCAGCACTAACAACAATAACAACGACACCAATGCCAAAGCTAACAGCAGCACTAACACCAATGCTAACAACAACGCTAATGGCAATGCTAATGGCAACTAACACCAATGCTAATGCCAACACTAATACCGGTTCTAATGCTAATGCTAACAGCAGTGCCACGCTAGGCTTCATCTCTGACCCAACACATACAATTATAACAGAAACATACAATTATAACATTTTTAGAATAGTTCAAATATACATTTTACAATTTATAAAAATCCTATAATATGCTTTGGCTTTGATGGCAGAATAAAGCACAAATGAAGTTGATAATTATGTGTGTGGACCCCTCCCTCCCCACTATTCTGTTGGAGATGGATGGCTACAGCCAGGTGGAGGTCACGTAATAGGCCAGCGTTTGCTTATGCGTTTCTATGGCAACCCTGTACCCAGAGCACCCCCAGGTAACAAGCGCTACAACTCAACCTCGGATGTCTCTCGGACTCCTAAAGAACGGTTGCCGCATGCATGAATGAGGCTTGGGAGTGTGGGGGGGGTCAAGCCGCGTTTTTCAGAATGACATCAGAGAGCGGAGAATGGCCCGCGACATAACGACCCCCTCGTCTAGAAGAGGCATCTGCCTCTCTGCGGCAGTGTGACGTTTCGTGGGAAAGAGTGCTTCACTCCAGTGGAGACGCGGGATAATGACTCTCCTCAGACTGCCTGAGAGCGACTCTCAGACGAGCCGGCGTGAGAGCCCTGAAGGCGCGCGGGGATTTGTCGGGGCGAGTTACCATGGAGAGAAGCCTGCCCTGAAACCTACACAGCACTCACCTGTAAACAACACACGCGTGTTTTAGATAATCCCCCACAGAAGTGTCTGGCCGGCACCATACTCACGGTAGGGGCTGGTTTCGAACTCGAAGCGCTGGCTGAAGCCGCCATAGCCAGCTGAGGTGCGCGCCCTGATCTGGAACACGTAGACGGACGAGGGTCGCAGGCCGTCTGCGATCACCTCCGTCTCCTTGGACTTGATGATGGTGTAACTGGTCTCCTGATCCTGCTGGCCCCAAAGAGAGCCAGTCAAGACGTGGCCGGCCAGGCGATTCCAGAGGCCGTAGAGCACCGTCTGATTTTTAAAAAGCCCATGATGTCGTGCGGACACTAAGAGCCATCCTCCCTGCAGTCTGGCACACTAGTACAACACACTATGAGCTTTACTGCACCGCATGTTGATACCACGCTTAAATGTGGACCTGCCGCGTGTCCGGCATCTCATAATGGGTACACTGGGCCCTGAATATGAAGCCCCATTGACTGGAAATAACAGGAAAATATACAGCAAACACGATATAGTGGACCAATATTGTTACTGCCCTATTTATTACTGATTTACCATATAAGGTCAAAGGCGGCTGAAGAAGGGAGGAGTCTCACACACCTTCTCGAAATACTTGATCTCATACTCCAGGATGATGCCGTTGGGCCGCTCCGGCTCCTTCCACGACAGTGCGATGCTGTCTTTGGCTGCTCTCCCCTTCTTCACCACGCTCACAAGGGACGGGGCTGCCGGGGTGGGGGGGGGGGGGTTGTTATTCTCCTTTTTACTTATTTATGAATCCAACAATACGACAGGCAGTGGTTTGCTGTCTTAAAAAGTAATTAACAATT